CTTCGTTGTGTGGACGGGTGCAGGGTTAATTCGATTTAATGCTGCTAAATTCGAACTAAACTCGTAGTGTAGACCAGGCCTTAGGTACAGTTCTTTAAATTTACAGAATTAACACATATTCTAATTTAACTGGATTATGTTCAGGCTCAGTAGATATGGTTTTGAGTAACATGCAGAATGATCATGGAAGAAAATGATATGGATTCTGATGTATGCTGAAGGTCCTTGCAAATAAAAAATAAAGCACTCAAAACCAAATGTTTGAACAATGGGCCTCATTTATAAAAACTTTAGAAATTCAAATGTATGAAGAACTTTCACATTATCACAAAACATGCCAAACCAACCTATTTCCCTCCTTTGACAGGGTTACTGGCCTAGTGGATGGGGGGAAACAGCAGACGTGATATATCTCGATTTTAGTAAGGCTTTTGACATAGTCCCACATGACATTCTCATAAGCAAAGTAGGGAAATGAGGTCTAGATCAGGGGTGAGCAAACTATGGCCCACGGGCCACATCCGACCCCTCAGACCATTTAATTCGGCTCCCCCGGGAGCAGGGTCGAGAGCTTGCCCTGCTCCGGTGCTCCTGCTGGGGAGTGGGGTCGGGGGCTTTCCCCGCTCTGCCTGTCCGACGCTCCCACGGGTTCAGGTGGGACCTACGTGAGGGCACACGTTACTGCAGCTGCACAACCCAAACGCGCCATCAGAGCCTGGAATGTGCAAGCCCACGTGCCTGCTACTTGTTGGCTTAGGTGACTCTGCTGTTTTAGTAGTGTTAATTTTCCATTGTTGAGGATAAAACAAAGAGTAGTTGGCCAAGGAGTGCCAGCTGCATTGTTCAAATTAATCAAAGAGGGCGTGGAAAGTAGGTAAGCTTGGTTTAATTATTATAATACTTTATGATGGTATTTATAATAGTAAATAAGGTTTAATGTTTATTTCCACTAAAATGTATCTTTATTAAATAAAGTTTATTTGAATATCTCTGATTTGTTAATTTTGTGAGCATTCATGGCCCACCACACAATTTCCATACCCAGATGTGGTCCTCAAGCCAAAAAGTTTGCCCACCCCTGGTCTAGATGAAATTACAATCAGGTCAGTGCACAACTGTTTGAAAGACTGTACTCAAAGAGTAGTTATCAATGTTTTGATGTCAAACTGGGAGGCTGTATCTAGTTGGATCCCACAGATGTCAGTCTTGTGTTCAGTACCATTCAATATTTTCATAATGTCTTGGATGCAATGGTGAAAGTAGACCGGTATGGGCTGGTAGTACCAGTAAGAAGTGGCTGCCGGTACCATCCCGTATACAGCCAACTTTAAAGCGCTACCACGGCAGCGCTTTAACGTCACTGCCCTCCCCTTCTCCCATCGGCGGCGCTGCCGGTAGGGACCTGGGGGGCAAAAGGGGAGGCTGCCCCGTGGCCCGGCGATTTAAAAGGGCCCGGGGTTCCCAGCCACTGCTGCTACCATGCAGCAGCCGGAGCCCCGGGCCCTTTTAAATTGCCGATGGAACCCTAGGCGGCGTGGTCTGGGCAGCGCTGATGGGCTGGCCGGGGAAGGCTGACTCCCCAGCTCTGCCCCTTCCGCTCAAGGTCTCACCCTTTTCGGGGGCCTGGAGCTGGGCCCCTGTACTGGTAAGTCCTCTGTGCTACTTTCACCTCTGCTTGGATGATGGAGTGGAGAGTATGCTTATAAAATTTGCACATGACACCAAGATGGGAGGGGTTGCAAGCACTTTGGAAGACAGTTCTAGAATTCAAAACAAGCTAGACAAACTGGAGAACTGGTCTGAAATCAACAAGATGAAATTCAATAAAGACAAGTGCAAAGTACTATACATAGGAAGGAAAAATCAAATACACAACTACAAAATGAGGAATAGCTGGCTAGGTGGTAATACTGCTGAAAAGAATCTGAGGATTATAGTGGATCACAACTTGAATATGAGTCAACAATGTGATGCAGTTACACAAAAGGTCAATACCATTCTGGGGTGTATTAACAGGAGTGTTGTATGTAAAACACAGGAGTCATGCTGTACTAGGCATCGGCAAGGCCTCACCTGGAGTATTGTGTCCAATTCTGTGTGCCACACTTTAGGAAAGACGTGGACAAATTGGAGAGAATCCAGGGAGAGCAACAAAAATGATAAAAGGTTTAGAAAACCTGACCTATGAAAAAAGATTTTAAAAACTGGGTGACATTAGTCTTGAGAAAAAAAGATGGATGGGGGGACCTGATAGCAATCTTCAAATCTATTAAGGGCTGTTATAAAGAGAATGGTGATCAATTGTTCTCTGTGTGCACTGAAGGTAGGACAAGAAGTAATGGGCTTAATTTTCAGCAAGGGAGATTTAGGTTAGATATAAGGAAAAACTTTCTAATTATACAGGTAGTTAAGTTCTGGAATTGGCTTCCAAGGGAGGTTGTGGAATCCCCATCATTGTAGGTTTTTAAGAACATATCTGCCTCACCTCAGTCCCTGGAAAAATCATGGAGCAGGTCCTCAAGGAATCAATTTTGAAGCACATTGAGGAGAGGAAAGTGAGCAGGAACAGTCAGCATGGATTCACCAGGGGCAAGTCATGCCTGACTAACCTAATTGCCTTCTATGATGAGGTAACTGGCTCTGTGGATGAGGGGAACGCAGTGGACGTGTTATTCCTTGACTTTAGCAAAGCTTTTGACACGGTCTCCCACAGTATTCTTGCCAGCAAGTTAAAGAAGTATGGGCTAGATGAATGAACTATAAGGTGGATAAAAAGCTGGCTAGATCATCAGGCTCAATGGGTAGTGATCAATGGCTCCATGTCTAGTTGGCAGCCGGTATCAAGCGGAGTGCTCCAAGGGTCGGTCCTCGGGCCGGTTTTGTTAAATATCTTCATTAATGATCTGGAGGATGGTGTGGATTGCACCCTCAGCAAGTTTGCAGATGACACTAAACTGGGAGGAGTGGTAGATATGCTGGAAAGTAGGGATAGGATACAGAGGGACCTAGACAAATTAGAGGATTGGGCCAAAAGAAATCTGATGAGGTTCAACAAGGACAAGTGCAGAGTCCTGCACTTAGGATGGAAGAATCCCATGCACTGCTACAGACTAGGGACCGAGTGGCTAGGCAGCAATTCTGCAGAAAAGCACCTAAGGGTTCCAGTGGATGAGAAGCTGGATATGAGTCAACAGTGTGCCCTTGTTGCCAAGAAGGCTAACGGCATTTTGGGCTGTATAAGTAGAAGCATTTCCAGCAGATCGAGGGATGTGATCATTCCCCTCTATTTGGCATTGGTGAGACCTCATCTGGAGTACTGTGTCCAGTTTTGGGCCCCACATTACAAGAAGGATGTGGAAAAATTGGAAAGAGTCCAGGGGAGGGCAACAAAAATGATTAGGGAGTTGGAGCATATGACATATGAGGAGAGGGTGAGGGAACTGGGATTATTTAGTCTGCAGAAGAGAAGAATGAGGGGGGATTTGGTAGCAGACTTCAACTACCTGAAAGGAGGTTCCAAAGAGGATGGAGCTAGGCTGTTCTCAGTGGTAGCAGATGACAGAACAAGGAGTAATGGTCTCAAGTTGCAATGGGGGAGGTTTAGGTTGGATATTAGGAAAAACTTTTTCACTAAGAGGGTGGTGAAGCACTGGAATGGGTTACCAAGGCAGGTGGTGGAATCTCCTTCCTTGGAGGTTTTTAAGGCCTGGCTTGACAAAGCCCTGGCTGGGATGATTTAGTTGGGGATTAGTCCTGCTTTGAGCAGTGGGTTGAACTAGATGACCTCCTGAGATCCCTTCCAACCCTGATATTCTATGATTCGATGATTCTATGATGATTCTATGTTGGACGAACACTTGTCAGGGATGGTCCTGGTATACTTGGTCCTGCCTCAGCACAGGGGTTGGATTTGATGACTTCTGGAGGTCCCTTCCAGCCCTACATTTCTATAGTTCTATGATGAAGTGGGTTTTAGCCCACGAAAGCTTATGCCCAAATAAATTTGTTAGTCTCTAAGGTGCCACAAGTACTCCTCGTTGTTTTTGCTGATACAGACTAACACGGCTACCCCTCTGAAACCATTCACAAATTTGTTACTTCTAGAGAATGACACTTTCATCAAATTCTTTAATTATTTTATTTTTTCTTTCAATTTAGAACACTACAAGAGTGCCCAAATGCAAGTATATACTATATAAAGCAACATCTTATTTTTAAGTCCAAAGAAAAAGAGAGTAGCATTGGGAAGGTGAATGGATATCTGTGTCTCTGCACACATGCAGAGAGCAGAGCCAGGGACTCAGCTAGAAATGTCCAGAGAAGTATGTGGTAGCTACTGAGCATATTCAGTAGATTTCTTAAATCTTCATAGAAAGTCATCATTATGGTCAGGCAGGTCGTACATAATCTCTGTCTGAGATATGAGCCAACCAGAGCTCAGCAGAAAATGTTATAAATACAAGAGAAACTGAGAGACTGAGAGGGAGGGAGAAAGAAGAACATGATTCACGGACAGAAGGTTTGGCTTTGAACCTTTGGACTGAAAAATAAACTATTGCAATATAAAGCACAAGGGTTACACATACACAGGCTCTGAGAATTCTCCCAATCATTGAATATTCCAAAATGAAACATAAATTGCAGTCAGCTCACCCTTCTATCCAGGAGCAGCTCTAAATACAAATAATACCACATCAAAACACTGGCCAGTATTTCAGTCTACCCTAACTCCTTCAAAAGTCAGGCAAAACATGAAAGATGGTAAATCTGAGCTATTTCAGACCAGGGGCAGGAGGGCATTCGGAAGCCCTGATGCCTTCCTGGAGAACATCCTGTGTATAGTAGCAATGACCAGAGTTGTGGATTTATTGAGTGGCACCAGGTAAGACACTTCGGAGCTGATTCTTCCAGAGCTGCTGAGAGCCTACAGCTCTTGTTCACTTCATTTGGAATTATGAGTGCTAAGAAACTCTGAAATCCAGCCTTAAAAGTGACAAGTTAGGCACCTAGAACTTCATGCACACCAAATTAGTGGACACTTTAAAAAATGTTGGCCTTAATCTTTAACATTGGATATTAAATACCAACATTTAAAATCTCCCGGCAATATTTAAAATGGCAACTCCCGCCCCCAATAACAACCCCACCACCAAAAAAAGTACATCTTCATTAATTTGTAGTGTATCATACAATCAGTTGTTAGTTATGGCTGATTCTACTTTATACTGAAAAGCCAGAAAATGAAAGCTGTGCCAACTCTTTATCTGTAGTTCTGCCTTTCATCCAGTGTCCAATACATTCTGTTTAACTGCACTGTGCCTGCTATAGGAGCCCAACATCTCAAGTAGTTGTGCTTTGATTCCACAAGAAAGCCAAGCAAATACCTAACATGTTCTTGGTAGAATTTACATGCTAGCAGCTTTTCAAACAGAGCAGTTACCAATGTTTAAACACGAGGTGGATGCTGACGTCAGTTCTCTACTCAGTAAGTTACTTCACAAAACAACCATCTGTCGTCTGGCTATTAGCTACCTTTTTGAAATATCAGAGAAAGGGGTGTGATAAGGAATTTCATTTATGCTGACAGTCTTGAGGCACTTTCATGAATCGGTTACTTACATCGACATTCTTTTGGGGCTCCAGTTTTGCCATTTGCAGCCTGCCAGGGCTGGTCATTGTAGAGTGGAGCACAGTGCTGACAGTGGTGGCCTGCTGTATTGTGCTTACACATGCACCTTCCATGGACCTAGTGAAGGAAAACAGAACCAGGATCATTCACAGCATAGACTGCAAGGTCTCTGGGAGCAGTGACTGTGTCTTTATATGTGTTTGTTCAGCACCTAGTCCAGTGGTTCCCAAACTGGGGTTTGTGAACCCCTGGGGGGTTCACAAAATGTTACAGGGGGTTCTCGGGAAAAAATTCCCTAATGGTGGACAGTGCTGTCCCTAGGGACTCCGGGCACCATAGGACCAGCAGCCCAGAGCCCCTGGATTTCCAAGAACTAAGCAGATCAAAGCAAGCATGTCTATCACAATGAGGAGATTTAAACTTCAAGACTCCTTACAAGAAATGGAAAGGGAGGTGGATATTTTTTGCTGTTTTTAAAATTAAATAGGCAGCTAGTGTTGTTTTTAAAATTATTATGAAGAACAAGTTTAAGCTTTGTTGTAACATGTGTTGTTTGCCTGAACTACTCAAGACCTGAATGCTTGTGTAAGAGGAACTCTTGAGTTGGCTTCTTAGATACCTTCATGATG